AATTCAGGCCAAGCCTGGTCTACAAAGCAAGTCCAAGACAGCAAGGGCTACACAGAGAAACCCTATTTTGGGGGGAAGGGCATGATTACCAGAGTACATGGCACCCAGGGCAAGTATTAGTTCTTAGTGGGAAGCTGCTGTAGAAATAGTCAAGTGTCCTGGGGAAGGACAGTTCACCCAGGCCTGAAAGGATACGTCAAAACGGAGGGTCTTTAACAATGCACACATACACGTGCTAAAAGCATGGTTCTATAAGGACACAGGGAACTGTGATCTCTGCACAGCCCCAGAACAGGATATGGACTATTGATGGCTCCAGGATGGCAGTAGTCACAGCCTAGGAAGAAGTCAATGTTCTGATGTAAAGAGGCACGCAGCACTTGACAATGACACTGGTGCGCACAGGGATTTAAAAAAACAAAAACAAACAAACAAACAAACAAACAAAAAAACAGGTTATAAGGGTCAAACTGAGTGTCCTGGGCATTTTACATCCCACAGTGGCAACTATGAGCCAGAGACTAACAATTTATAGCCAGGATGTAGACTCATGAGCTGTGTTCTCTTCAGAAGTCCAAAACACTTGCTGCCTCCAGAGAGGGATACAGGCAAGAATGCAGGTGTCAGGAGCCCTGGGGGAAGGCTGTGTTGAGCATGTGTATTTCTGTGCTTGAACCCAAAGTCTCACACGTCACAGATGAGGGAAATTATCAGGAAAGGGAAGGTTAGGTACTGGGAGGCGGGGCTGCAGGGCAAATAGGAATGAGGAAACAAGTTGTGTGACTGTGAAAGACTACATAGTAATCTATGCTGAAGAAGTCCTGTGTGCTCAGAGAAAGCTGCCTCCGCTCTATGGCTGAGGGGACAGCAAATTCATATACCTTGAATTAACCCTACCTAACTCCAACCTAATGAGAATTTACCACATCCCAAATTGGACATTTCAGAAGGGTAGCCCACATCTTAGAATTATTTAACTAAGTCATGTCACTTACAGGCCCAGGAATGTCACCGACAAGGTTTATCTCCTCTGCTCTGCCACTTAGAGTGGTGGTGCCTTTATTCCTAAGTTTGGTTCCACAGCCTGGCCACCTGATTGCCATCTGAAGAGCATCCCTTTTGAAACTTTTCTCAGAACGATAAGAACGCAACTTTTCCAAAATCCCAGCAAACTCTCCCAGTTCCATCTGAATGAGTCCTGTGCTCCGGAAATGTGCAGACTGGCTCGGGCAGCACCTCCTAACAGGCGGGACCTACCTCCCTGATACTTTGCAATAGGGAATTGCACTGCTTCATGAGGCATGCAAGGCTCACTTCCGTAGACGTGGCTGAGTCAGCTCCATACAAGAAAACGTGGCCGAAATGATGACTGTTAAGAACATAACAGGAAGAAGAGCTGTGTGAAGATTAAATCAATACCCTGAGAACTGGCCTTCTCCTTAAAATGTTCTTGGAGACAGAGCTAAAAAAGAAACCTGAAGAGAATATAGGTAGATACGGGAGGAAAGCTAAGAGCAAAATCTAGGAAAAGGGTCCAAAATGCAATGGAAAAGACAGCAGAGACCAATGGAGTAGAGGTGAGCTGATTAGTCATGTTCTTTGGTGCCTCCCAAGCTCGCCTTTTTCTAAGAGCCAATGGGGGCCAAATTTATTCATCTCTGTACCTGACTCTGCCCCTACATGTTCAGTGGTCCTCAGAACTCCAGTATGACTCTATCCTAGGCTCGGGTTCGCTTTGAAGTATCAGGGCTGGCGACTGAAGTCAGGACCTCATGTATACTCAGCTCTACCAATGAACTATCTTCCCAGTCACCCAAGTCATTTCTAGTATTACACAAACCCACGCTCCAGCTCACTTGCACAGTGGTAGCTCCACGATGACCCTACACCTGATGTCCTCCTGCCTCCATGGAGACATTACCTTTGGCTCGAATGTTTCTGTTTTGTTTCCTTTTTGAGATAGGGTTTCTCTGTTTAGCCTTGGCTGTACTGGCCTAGCTTTGTAGACCAGGCTGGCCTCGAAATCAGAGATCCATCTGTCTCTGCCTTCCTGAGTGCTGGGATTACAAGTGTGCATCACCACACCTGGCAAATGTTGCCTTTTCTGTCCCAGAATATTCCATCTTGTAAATTCAGATGTGTTCTCTAATAGAACCATCACATGTCCTTTCACGCTCATGTCCTCAGTTCTCTCACCAGATTCACTAATACTAGGGTTATTTTGGCCTGAAATGGTGATTCATTAGTACAGTGACGGTGCTCTCCCTCCTGGTGGTCCTTGCATGTCCTGGACTCGTTTTGTAGACCAAGCTGGCCTCCAACTCACAGCGATCCGCCTGCCACTGTCTTCCTGAGCATTGGGATCATAGGCGTGCGCCACCATACCTGGCTCCACTCATTATTTACTTATGAAAAAAACTGTGCAGCAGCCACATGCACTGCCATGAGTAAGGAAGGCACTTCCTAACTACTGTTGGTAGGGCTCAATCAAATTCTCAGCTCCCATTCTGTTCCTCTTCTGTTCTCAGAATTCTATCTTGCCAAAGCCCTTGCCTAACTAGGCTTAGACCTCATCTAAGGCTCACTTTCCCCTGCAAAAGCAAAGAATTGAGATGATTTCATGAAATAGCCCACAGGTTGAGGGTCAGGAAGAAAAAACAACTATACCTACCTTTAAAACTACTGAGCCATTTCAGTTTCATTCTGGCATCATAAAAAGTACTGCCATCTCAATTATTTGGTGGCTTTCAAAATTTACTTTCCATCCATGTCTCATTAAAAAACAAACAAGAGCAAACAGCTGGGAATCCCAGCACTCAGGGAGGCAGGCAGATCTTTGAGTTCGAGGCCAGATGGTCTACAAAGTGAGTCCAGCACACCAAGACTACAGAGAAACCCTGTCTCGAGAAAAAAATCAAAACACAAAAAACAAACCCACATACAAATACAAATCACCTTTTTGGGAACTAGGAAGATGGCTCAAATTGTAAACTACAAGCAATGTGGTGCTAAATTCAACCTCCAACACCCACACAAAAGCCTGGGACTTAGCTGTCCCAGTACTAACAAGGAAGAGGATCCCTGGGACTTGTTGACCAGCCAGTCTAGCAAAATCAGTGAGCTCTGAGCTCAGTGCAAAACCCTATTTCAAAAATAAAACAGAAAAAAAAAAATTATATTACAACCAAGGCTGAGTGTGTATATGTATTCTTATATTCATTTCTTCAACAAGTAGGTATAAATACCCCACACACCAGGCACTATTCTAGATGGGGCATATTACTGAAATAAGATTACTTAGAGGGTCAAAAACCAAACTTTTTACCCTTGAAGACTTATATACTAGAATAGAATGTCAACTAAATACACATTAGAGTTGCAGAACATTCATGAAACTAAAGTGCCTATTAACACATGCAGGAGTTTTTGGTTGTTTTTTTTTTTTTTTTTTTTTAATTTAATGCTGATACAATGCATTAAACCAGTAAGCTGCCTTCTCAACTCATTAACATGCTGTCTTCTACTTTAAAAAAATGTCGGTCTACACAAGTCTGACAATAGTCAACTGTGTGCTGCTCCTACTGTTTTTGAGACAGGATTTCTGCGTAGTCATGGCTGTCCTGGACTCTCTGGTGACCATGCTGGCCTTGAACTCAGAGATCTGCCTGCTTCTGAGTACTAAGATCAGAGGCCAGCACCACCACTGCCCAGTGCTGTTACCATTTTATAGATGGCATGGTATGCAAAAAGATTAAGTGATTTATGTAAATTCACCTACTCATGATCCCAGAGAAACGGCACTGGAATTTCACCTCAGACCTTCAACTGAGTCTAGTCCTATCTTTAGCACTGCAGTTTTATCTCTGTATTTTGGGGGGTGTGGGGAGTATGGTCTCATTCTGTAGTCCAGGCTGGCCTTGAACCCATAGTGATTCCACTGCCTCATCTGAGGACTAGAATTGCAAGCTTGAGCCACCTACACTGGGCTTGACTGCAGTTCTGGCCTTCGTCTGGAGTCCCCCTTCACTCCCTTGCCAGTTATATCCTACTTACTTCTAGGTAACCAGGCTGCAGTGTACTCCAAGAGGCCTCTCGTGCCATAGCCACCTACACGCAGGTCCCTGTGATCTTTTTGTCCCTCAAGACACAGCACATGCTACAGTAGGTATTAGTAGTTACACAACGCAGAGAAGCAGTGGCAAGTCCTCCTCTTAGTGGAATGGCACAACCAGCATGACAGAATCTAGAATCACCTCTGAGATGAGCCTCTGAGCATGCCTAGGGGAATCACCTTGACAGCATCAACACAGGTAGACGATCCACCCACAGTTGAATGGCACCACTCCCTGGGGAGAATACTGGTTTGTATGGAGACAGCAGCAGCATCTGGTCTTTGTTCTTCATGTCTTAACTGTGAATGAGATGTGACCAATTGCTTTAAGCTCCTGCTGCCTTGATCTTTCCTATGATGATGGACTGTGTCTTGAACTGTGAGTCAAAATAAGCCTTTTCTCCCTTAAGCTGTTTCCATCAGGGCATTTTATCTCAAACACAGGAAAGGAAAACAGGAACCTAGATTACAAAGTTACACAGTAGGCAAAGGCTTCAACAGTGGAAAAAAAGCATATACATATTTTGTCTTCCTCACATCACTACTAGAAGGAGCCCAAGTTGAAGATGGATGGGCTTTTGAAGGATAGGAACAAGAGGGTCCCTGGGTTCACAGCAAGCACAAGGGTACCATTCTGCAATGGGACGCAGAGTTATAGCTGGGAGAGTCCCATCTTACTCAGGTGGAGAAATCAGTTCAGGTTCCTAAGAGGCAGAGCCTCTTCTAGAACTGCTCACTATTGCTTCAATTACTTTGAGCAAGACAGTGCTATGTGGTTGGTGAGAACACCTGCAGGGGATACACCAGAGACACCGGAGAGGACGACAGTAAGTTACACAAGGTCATGAGGTTTGGGGCTTCTCAATGAAACAATACATTCATAGCAATGCCAGGTCCTTACAAAAAAATATAATTTTGTTCATGACATTTTTATGCAAGATATTACAGAACCCATGCTTTTCAGACTTTAATCAAACTCTAATTTTATAGGACAAAGGGAGGTAGTAAAATATATATGTAGGATAGGAAATATCTATGTAAATAAGCACCTCAGTTCTTGTTAAAGTTTGGCGCTGTTGAGCAACTTGCTTAACCTAAGTCTCTATTTAAAATAACTTAAAAGGTATTAATTTGCCTAATTTTAAGTTTTCGATTACATAACATTTTCTATTTTGAAAATAAAACCACTCAAGCACACCACTTACACAGAGACATGAAGTGAGAATTCACACACATTTAAAACCACATTACTTAAGCTGCTGTTCATAAGTGTTTAGTCACATCATTGATAGTAGCATTTATTTTAAAAAGATTTAAGATCGGTTGGTAATTTAATATGATTTAGAGTCTTCTTTTAAAATTCAGAGTAGGAGAACTAGTTATTAGCTTAGAGCATATTTCTGGATAGGATGTTTAACACAAGAAACCACAAATAAGCATGTAAGCTCATTGTTCACATTTTTAAAAAGCATCTTGTCTTTACATTTAGGACTGTTAATGGCTCTTTTGTCTGCTTCTGTCGTTGTTTTTTGAGGTGCAGTCTCATATACCTCAGAGTGGTCTCAGAATCCCTCCTAGGCAAGGGTGGCCTTGAACTCTTGATCGTTTGCCTGTTTCTCTAGAGCTGGGGTTGTAGCATGCGCAGTGTTGTGCTGCACCTGTGCAGTGCTGGGGCCAAACCCAGGGCCTCATGCATGACGCCTTCAGTCCAGCTTGGTGCAGGTGGTGCAGACTCAGCAGTCCCGAGTCTGAGGGTGAGGTCAAGTGACTACACAGAAGAGTTAGTCACGCCCGATGCCCAGCACAACCAATTCCTCCAACGACAGCACTTCCAGAGTTCTCAGCATCCCAGCTGCCCTTCTTTCTCCACGCTCATGTACGCCTTTCTTTAAAGAAACAGAAACTAAGTTCTCCAAAATTCTGAAAGTTTGTATAGAGCTGAGTGAGAGCTTTGACATTCGATATCACATGGTCCCTTTATCACAGCCGCTTTCTTCATTCCGGGTCAAGGCGCGGTAAAACCGGGAGAATAAGATTCCCAAAGGCAGAGTCTTGCGTTATGAAGTATCCAGATGAGTGTGCATGAGCATGCTGAGAAAGATTAAAACAGAACAGAACAGAAACCCAAAACAGTTATGCTATTCAGTCACAACTGTTCAACCACGGCATTAACATTCCTTATCCTTTCTGAATTCCCAACTTCTAATTTATAATACAACTCTTTGTTTACACAGAAGGACAACAGCACATTCAGATTAACATACTGCAGCAGGCACTCATTTAGCAGACTATTTATCTCCTCAGGGCTCTCCTCCGTCAGCAGACATGACTGCTTTGTTCTTGGAATGAGGGAAAGCAGCAGCAAAGGTCATGCGACAAAAAGCCTGAGAAAGAGGAGGAGCTCCAAAAGGGATGACAATAGTGACCACTGATGATTAAAATCCACCAACAATGAGACAATGTTGGAACATAACTAATTTAAAAACTATCAGTATGCCTGGAGATAACCTAGAACCCCTGCAGATGTAACCCATGGCAGCTCAGTGTCCAGGTGGGTTCCCTACTAAGGGGAACAGTGGCTGGCTCTTTGATCACCTCCCCCAGAGGGGGGGAGCAGCCTTGCCAGGCCACAGAGGAAGACAATGCAGCCAGTCCTGATGAGACCTAATAGGCTAGGGTCAGAGGGAAGGGGAGGAGGACCTCCCCTATCAGTGGACTGGGGGAGGGGCACAGGGAGAAAAGAGGGAGGGAGGATGGGATTGGGAAGGGGCTATAGCTGGGATACAAAGTGAATAACTTATAATTAATTTAAAAATTAATAAAAAATATCAGTAATTTCCCTCTTGCTTTAAAAAAAAAAAAAAGAACTGTTTTTAGTCATGTGAAATGAGATGATGCTTATGATGTCCTTTCCTATTCTGGGATTCTGCTCAACCTTCAAATTTTTATTTTTAAGTTCTTATGAGATTGGGTTTTGCTACATAGCCTAGAACTCAAGACCCTCCTAGGTCTGATATTGTAGGGTTATAGAGATTACCCTATCCAAAAAAGAAAAAAGATGTTTAGTCCAAGGTCCCTGGGAATCATAAGCTATCCAAGATGAATGTTAATACTGAGGCGATTACTTTGAAGAATAATGTCTGCAAGCTGGACCATCACATTTCTAGCACAACAGTAAGAGCCTTTAAATATTTTCCACGCAAGCCGTGCAGACCATTACAAAAATACCCAAACAGTAAGCCAAGAACACAATCAGAGCAAGTAATGGTGCGACAAATTTGAAGATACACACGGTGCCACTAAACTAGCCAGTTCAGTTTTGTCAACAAGAAATCCCTTGGCAAAGCCCAGCAGAGAATCAATCACGGCTGCATTAAGACCGTAAAGGTACTTTCATTACTACCGTACTGGCCCTTCACTCCACCTGGGCATCAATGAGCACTGGCAAACCACTGTAGCTATGTGTGGAACCAGTTTGTTGATACTGCTCCACTGAGATACATGGCAAGTGCTAGGCTGGCTCCAAGAGCTGGAACTCTCCACTGAAACGGTCGGCTCACTTTGCTCACCTGCAAAGCTGCCTTCTGCTGGGCTGCAATGTGCTGCTGCTCAGCATGGTCCCGGAAGTCCTTATTAAGAGAGGGTCTGGAGAGGGAGATGCTAAAATGGAAATCTTGGTTACGTGGTTACCAAACACAGAGATATCCTTATCTTTTTAAAAACTTAAATCATTATCCAAGAGGATTTATTAGATTGGCATTTTTTTTACTTTTACTTTTAATTTATTTATTTATTTCTGGTTTTTGTGACAGGGTTTCTCTATGTAGCCCTGGCTATACTGGACTTGATTTATAGAGCAGGCTAGCTTTCAACTCACAGAGATCTACCTGCCTCTGTCTCCCAAGAGCTGGGATTAAAGGTGCGCACCACCACACACACAGCCAGATTGGCACATTTTTATTATAGTAAATTACTTTTAAAACTGAGGCGCCCTGACGGGCGTGGTGGCACACACCTGTAATCCCAGCACTCAGGGAGGCAGAGGCAGGTGGATCTCTGTGACTTTGAGGCCAGCCTGGTCTACAAAGTGAGTCCAGGACAGCCAAGACTACAAAAAGAAACCTGTCTCAAAAAAAAAAAAAAATACACTGAGGTGCAGCTAACACATAAAAATTGTTTATATTTATGGTATGTTATATTTTAATAATATACATACATTAAAATTATTAAATCAAACTGAATAACCTATCACGTCATATGCCAATATTTTTATTATGAGATACCAGATCTGAGTAATTTTCAGTTACACATAATTATTAAGTAATCACCATGCTGTACGATAAATCTGAAGAGAAACCATCTGGTGGTTTGGTTTCTGGGTGTGGTACTAGAAACCACATCCAAGGACTGAAGTCTACTGAACCACTGAGCTAATCCCTAAGCCTTTACAGACTGAATCATACAGTTTTCATTATATATGCACTTAAAAAGGGTTTTGTTTCCAATTTGTTTGTTTGTTTTATGTCAGACACATATGGAGATCAGTCCTTTCTACCGTATGAGTCCTGGGGTAGAATCCAGGCTGCCAGGCTTAGAGGCAAGAGCCCTCCTCGCCACTGCACCGTCTCTCAGGCCCTATGTATTCTTTGTAGTATAAAAAATTGCTAAGCTGAATATGGTGGTGCACTCATAAAATCAGCCCTTAAGGGGTGGATACGGGAAAATCTTGAGTTCCAAGCCAGCCAAGACTACCCAGCACATCATATGTCATAAAACTTAAATAAAAAGCTAAGGGCTGGAGATGGCTCAATGGTTAAGAGCAGTGTCTGCTCTTCCAGTGGATCCGGGTTCAATTCCTAGCACCCACATGGCAGCTCACAGCTGTCTGTAACTCCAGTTCCAGGGGATCCAACACCTTCACACAGATAAACATGCATGCAAAAATCCCACTTTCATAAAAAACAAAACGAAAACTAGAAAACTTCTAGAATAAACGTACTCCCTTCTTCTTCTCATTATCTACAATAGGAAAGCCTATGTTATTTGCATGGGATTTCAAATAATCTATTACATAGATTTCATAATTTATATCCCCATCATCCTTATTATTTTATTCTTTTGTTTGTTTTTGTTTTCTGAGACACGGTTTCTCTCTGTAGCCTTGGTTATCCTAGAACTAGCTTTGTGGACAGGCTGGCCTCAAACTCCCAGAGATCCACCTACCTCTGCCTTCCAAGAGCTGGGATTAAAGGCATGTACCACCACACCAGACACATCTTTAAACATCTTTAAACAAACAGCTCGATGCTTGTCAACAGTAAAATCTTACTTCACTGTCTGTATGATAATTAAACTTATGACCATCTTCCATACAGGTTGAACAACTATGAATTAAAAAAAAAAAAAGAACCTGATAGTCACTTGTTGATGAGATTCTAGAAAGTTGGCACTGAGGTTATATGGATATGCAGAACAAATCTCAGACCACAGCAGTTGTGAGGAAATGTAATGTACATGACATAATGGAAATGAGCAGACTATGAACACAAGTAGGAATTTGGTAAGGGAAGCTAATTCTCACAGTAAAATGAGACCTCCAAAGAGTGTAAGCATGATTACTAATGACACCTCCAAAGAATAGTCAATACCTAGCTCCAGGGTGACTTGTTGAAGATTGGTTCTGCATAAGTAATTTTCTTTTTTCTTTGTCCAGTTCAGCCAAAATCGCAACTCTATTTTTATTTTGAAAACCTAAAGAAGAAAAGAAGAGAAGGGGAATAAGAAGCATTTTAGACCTGAGCCATGTAGAAACCAGAAAGCAAAATGCCTACTCATTCTCTAACATGGTCATGAATTCACAAGTAAGTTCTTTCTCCTTACTGGCCATTTCCAAGCAACTTTAAGAGCATAATACATTACCAGATGTGGTGGCATCTATAATCCCAGCACTGGTGAGATGGACTACAAGGCCAGCCTAGGCTACTTGAAACCCTGTCTTTTAAAACAAACAGTGGAGGTGAGAGGGGTTAGCTCAGTTAGTGGAGTGTTTGTTGCATATGCACAAACCCTGGATCCGGCCTCCAACACAGTACAAACTAGCTGTGGTGATGCACACCTACACCTGTGAGACAGAGGCAGAAAGATCAGAGTTCAAGGTTGTCAACTTTGCTTTTGCAACACATATTCAAGGTCAGTCCAGACGACACCTGACTTTGAAGCTCCAGAAGGTAGTGCAGCTTAAAATACAAGCCTGACGGATGCATTCGCTCCCTCTACTAAAACTCCGAATTAAGTAGGGCTCAAATGGGACCCTTCCTGGGAGCTATGCCAATATATTCCTATACAGGACCCTAAAATTAGGAGAAAGCACTCAGCGTGCTCTCCAAGTCAACATCACCCATCGGATCTCCAGGTCGTCCAGTCAGCACTATTCTGAGGAAACTAGGGCAGTTTCCACTCCTCCATATCTATTGCACAGGCTCTTTCTGAAATCAAGCTAGACTAATTGGGCTGCCACCTTTACCAATAAGAACTGGTGCAAAACAGGGCAGCAGGCTAGAGGCTTCTATAAGGAAGGGGGCTTGCCACACAGGCCTGGGTCCCAGCAGAGGTGGAAGGAGAGAACAGAGCCTTCTGACTTCCACACCAGGGCACGCCTGCCTACACATACACACATATGTATAAAAGCTAAAAACAAAAACAGTCTACAGAAACGGAACCTTAGCCAAATTCTAGTTTGATGGTCTCCCTCTGCATATCAAATTTCTCCAAAACGGGTAAAATTCTTAAGATATTACAACTTATGAATCATATAATTATTGAGAAATTACCAAATGTTCCACACAACACTGGATTATATAAAGTAAGACTTCAGTGACTGTCAAAAGCTTATCAAACCTAGAAATTCGGATTACAACTATACTATGGAAAACTGCTAGATCTGAAAGAGGTTAGGTTTTGTTTTTTGTTTTTGTTTGTTTTTTGCTATCTTAAAATATTCGAGAAGGGCCAGCTGGCTCAAGGCTTGCTGAAAAGCTCATCAACCTGAGTGTGATCCCAGGATAGATGGTAGAGGGAGAGAAACAATTCCTGTAAGCTGTCTCCTGACTTCCACACACAAGTACGCAAATACAAATCAATTTTTTAGAAAAAGGTATTTTGCCTGCATGTGTATCTGTATACCACACATGTGCCAGCTGCCTGAGAATGCGAAATGAGCACATAGAATTACAGACTGAACCTAAAGGCAGTTATGAGCTGCCACATAGGTGCTGGGAATTGAACCTAGGTCTTCTGAAGGAGCAGCCACTACTCTTAGCCACTGAGCCATCTCTACAGTCCCTAAATTTTAAAACATTAAAAAAGGGAGTTCCAGGCCAGCCAGGGCTAAACATGAAATCCTGTCTCAAAATAAAGAAATCAACATCAAAAGTGTTATTTTTTTTTTAAATTTGTACTGAGGATCCTCAAGTCTATAGACCATGACAGACTCCCTTTACTGGTGTCCAATAGTAGCAGCTCCACAGAAACAGAATTCTTAACAAAGTAACCAAAGTCAAATGACTGTGACTGGGGTTGTCACAGTAGATCTGACTATGAGCAACTAAAAGCAACACTAATAATATTTGTTCCTACTGCAAAGGGAAAAGTTAGCAGAAAATTTGATAACAGAATGAGATAATTTCAAATGTTTTCATTGTGAATGCATTGTGTGGCTTTTTTTTTTTCTTTCTTTCTTTCTTTCTTTCCTAAATAGACTTCTCTTAGTTTGCATTTGGCCCAGTTTTGGCAGGAGTTAGGGGGTACTGAGGATCAAATACAAATTACTTTAATCTGAACTTTTCTAACTTAATTTTTAAAAGAAGTTAAGACCATATAAATGTTTACCTGTGCTAATGGGTCAAACATACCTAAAAAGCAAACAGTTCAGCCTGCCATGGAGAGACCTGTTTCAAGTAGTATGCATAAAAAGTTACAAAGTGATAATACTTTCTAAAGACTACATTTTAAGAGCCAGGTGTGGTGGTGGCACCCGCTTTTAATCCCAGTACTAGGGACAGACAGTTCTGTGTTGGAGGCCAGCCTGGTCTATACAGTAAGTTCCAGACTGCCAAGACAACATAGCAAGACTCTGCCTCTAAATAAACAAATAAACAAATAAGTAAATAAATAAATAAGTAAACAAACAAATAAATAAGTGAGTAAATAAATGCTTGATTTGAATCTGGCATATACTTGTAATCGCAGCAGTTGGGAGGTGGAAACAGGAAGACAAGTTCAACACATAGCCCTCAAAAAGCTAAAAAACCAAGCAACCACAACAACAACAACAACAACAAAAAAAAAAACAACCTGAATAAAATAAATTTTTACTTCAACAAAAACATTTTTTAAAAATTTTCTTAACAGCAACATATGCCAAACTTAATTAAAAGATAGTAATAGGTAAAATGACTGAGTTGTTTACAGCAATGAAGATAAAGGCATGGTTATTATCTGATGACAGTTTTATAAATAATGCTGATTTCAAGTAAAAGATGCCAGAGGATGAAGTTTATGATACGAGCTGGGGAGATGGTTCAGTGGTTAAGCACTTGTTCCCAAAACAATGAGAACCGGGGTTTAGGTTCCTAGAATCCACATACTTGCTGTGTGGGCAAAATGACCCACCTACAATCCCAGCCTTGGAAGGCAGAAAGAGGGGATCCCTAGAGCAAGCTGGCTAGCCAGAGTAGCCCTGTCAGCGAGCTCCGGAGAGACCCTGCCTCAATGAACTGGGTGAGAGTGATGGAAGATGATTCCCGATGTCAACCTCTAGCCTCCACATGCATATGCCCGTCCCCACAGACATGCAAACATGCACTTACACAGATGCACACTATACAAACATAAATGGAAAACGGGAAAAAAGTTTACAATGTGAATCACTAATCTTAACAGTTAAAATACAGAATTAGGGGCTGGAGAGGTGGCTCAGAGATTAAGAGCGCTGGCTGCTCTTCCAGAGGTCCTAAGTTCAATTCCCAGCAACCACATGGTGGCTCACAACCATCTATAGTAAGATTTGGTGCCCTCCTCTGGAGTTAAAGTGTACATGCATACAGAACATTGTGTACATAATAAATATTTAAAAAAATAATAAATACAGAATTAGTAATATTAAAAAATGTGTAGCTGATACAGTGTTAAAATGATTTTAAATCGGGGCTTTCACTTTGCTAGTCATGCTTTAATTCTGGAGGCAGTAACTGTTCTATACTAAATTTTCTCTACTTCAAATACCTTTACTGTATGGGAGGGGAAGTTTCTAGTAATAACAGAAATCCCAGCATGCATTACCTTGTCCTGAAGGATTTGCTGCCATCTTCCTATTCTGTTTCAATTATATTCAGTGGCCACTGATCAGCACTTTACAATCATCTGTAAAAAAATTTATGTGCACACATAAAATGCACTGGCCTTTATTACAGTCTCAAAATGGTGAAGAACAGCTAGGCTGAGTTCGGTTTCTTAGTCTCTTCAGAAAGATATATGCAAAAAGCACAGACTTAAATCAGAAATTTAACTCTGCAAATTCCTCAAGCACTTTATTAAAAAGAACACTCTTTTAGTCTTAAAATTGTTTATACCAAGATTTAGTTACTTTATTTTACATCGTTAAGATGTATTTACCAAATATATCAACCTTTTTAAAGTATCCATATGATCAATGCTAGGAAGAAAAATAAAATTCTGTAAAAATCACTGTCCATTTAAAAACATATCCCATCATTTGCTGTGCTGGTGAAAGAAAAAAAGAAGAACCTTATAAGTATCTAATCTTCAACAAAACTGTGTAAGATGTTTCCAAAAAAAAAAAAAAAGTTTTTAATGAGCAGTTTTATGTATGTGGAGGTTAACTGTCACAAAACTGGTAAGCACACTAGGACTCCTGGTTTCTTTGTGTGTGTGGTGTATTCCCACTGGTGAGCATGAGCGAGCAGGCCAGGAAAAGACACTGGATGCCTTGCTCCATCACTCTCCACCTTGCTCCCTCGAAACAGGGTCTCTCGCTGAGCCTGGAGCTAGGACGGCAGCCAGCAATCCTCACTAATTCTCCGGTCTCCGCCTCCCTCAGCGCTGGGGTCCAGGCCCTCCAGCCACACCGGCGAGTCCAACAGACCCTAGGGCTTGGGCAGCAAGTGCTCTTACCAGCTGGGCCATCTCTCCAACTCCATGCCTGCTTATTTCTAAGTTTAGAAAATAAGTTCTGTATTAGGCCGGGCCGAAATCGCAAGGTAAGCTCGTCCCTTGAGTTTCATTCAAGCAATCGCACGGGGTGGGGGAGGAGAAAAACCAATTTAACCAAAGCGCTCTTTAAAATCGAGATGGCACAAAGCGGTAATTCCAGCACCCGGGAGGATGAGGCCAAAGAACCGCCGAGCAACAGGCCAACCCGGACTACAAAACCCGGTCTCAAAAACAAAACAAGGCGCCAACAGGGTTGCGGAAGTAGAGAACTATTGTTGAGCGACGGGCACGGGATCGAAGCAGAAGCCAGGGACGCGGGAATCGCGTGTCCGGCGGCTGGAGCGCAGCGTGAGAAGCCGAGCGAACAGTGGCAGTCGGGGCCGCCCTGAGGAAGGGGCAGGGTGTCCCGGAGCGGAACAAAACGGGAAGAGAGAAGCCCACGCCCGCTAGTCCGCGCGGGGCCGCCGTCCCGTGGCCCGCGCTCGGCCACACTCCTCCTAGCGTCACCAGTCGGTTTTACTTACCCGGATGCGAGGACCCTCGAGAAACCTCGCTCTCCGGGCGCCGACGTGCAGGGGGGCGCGCCCGCGTAGAACCCGGCGAGAGAGCTGCAAGGTGCCGCACTACAACATTCCCGCCGGCACCAGCTTCCGCCTCCTGACTGACGGAGCCCGTGGACCGGAAGTCCCGCCCACCGCGTGGACGCAACGGAGGCTACTCTAGGTGATTCGTAGTTTAAACGCCTCTTCGACGAGAAAGGGTTTCCCTACCGAAGAATGACAGTCGCGGAGGCTCACGGGAGATGCAGGCTGTACTGCTGGGAGCGGGCGGGGCGGTGGGTGGAGCCCAACGCTGATAGGCCGCGATGGAGCCGGGTCCCTAGCACCTAAAGTGACTTTTTGTCCTGCAGGTTTGCAAGAGGCTTTGTCCGTGTTGCCAATCCAGTTCAGCAGAGCTCAGAGGGAGGTGGGACACACTTTCTGATTTTAACAACCATCCCAGGAGTATTTCTGTTGTTTACGGTCTGAGTAAATAATTATACACAGGAAGAGCACTAAACAAATTTTCACTACAGTGCATAATCTGCATTTTTAAAGTAAAAGTGCCGGCCTGGAGTCGTGGCACACGCCTTTAATCCCAATGCTCTTGGAGGCAGAGACCGATCTCAGTTTGAGGCCAGCCTGGTCTACATACTGAGCTCCGGCACAGGCAGGACTACACAGTCAGACCTGTGTGGTCTCAAAAGCAAACGACAAAAAGTGAATGTCACACCAAGAACTACCGGAAATTACCTGATGCTACATAGTCTACTACAAAGCGAGTTCCAGGACAGCAAGGTCTACACAGAGACACCCTATCTGGAAGAAAAAAAGGAAATGTGCTTTGACGTGTATCACTTCTTCTGTGGTCATTAATCGCCTTCCACGACTTGCACCTGTGCTCTTACTAATTAACGTTTGGGACCCTAAGAATGTAGCTAAGTTGGTACAGTACTTGCCTAGCACACAGGAGGCCCTGAATTTGATACCTAACACCGCATAAAACAGGCCGTAGTGGTGCATACCTCTCAACCCCGCGTTGGGATTTTAGCGGGAGGAGGATCTTTTGTCCAAGGTCATTCTTAGCTACATAGCAAGTTTGAGGCCAGCCTTGACTAAATAAAACCTTATTTCTAAAATAATAATTGGTGCTTGTTAATGTTTATGATGCCCAATTTTGTTTTGCAGAGTGCTTGACTGAAACAGTAAGTTCAGTACGAAGGATTTCTTTAGTTCACAGAAATTGTTGAGTGTTGTCGAAGTGCTGGGCACTTGCTGTTCATCGGCTTAGGTCTGTCTGTGCTTTGTATGTGGGGAGCAGAGTTGTCAGTGCTTTTGTGCCCAGCAGTGAGCGGAGCCAAAGCCCCAAACTCTGCCAGATCCCCAACTTTGAAATTCTGTCTTTGCTCTGGGACAGCAGCTCACAAGCCTGTCACAGGGGTCACACGCAAGGCACCCGTCATATCAGATGTTTACCTACGATCCATAGCAGTAGCAAAATTACAGCCATGAAGTGCCAGCAAAATAATTTTATGGTGGGGTCACTACAACATGAGGAACTGTATTAAAGGGTCACAGCATTAGGAAGGCTGAGAACCATTGCTTTAGAGAAAGGAATTTGCAGAGACCCCGACATTAGTGTATAATGAGTTATCGCAAAATTTAGTAGTTAAAGTAACAGGTATTCATTATTTTGTATTCATTATTTTGTATTCATCATTGTAAAATTCTTCTGTACACTAGAAGAATTTTAACAGAGAGATACAATCAAGAGGGTCATGGCTGCATGGTTAAGAGCACTTGCTGCTCTTCCAGAGGGCTCAGGTTCTATTCCCAGCATCCACAACCACCTAAACATACAGCTCCATGGTACTCAACACTCTTTTCTGGACTCTACCAGTTATGCATATACATGCAGGCAAAATACTCATATAAAAATAAAATTAAAATAAGTAAGTAAGTAAATGTAATTAATGGTTCCTACATCCTAGGCCTACATTATACACTAATGTCGGGGCCAGCTCTTGGTAGTATTTCTCCCACTTAAGAGAGGATTTTGGTACATAGATACTGGCCTTGAACTCACCATGTAGCCCAGGCTACAGACTGGAATCCTCCTGTCTCAACCTCCTGAGTTCTGGCACTTACAGGCCTGTGCCATCACACTCAACTCTCTTGACTATAATTAAGATATAAAGTATGATGGTAGGATTTTAGTGTGTGCTGTGAAAATGCAGCCGTATTCAGTCTTAAAAATCCTTAACAAATTCTCTCAGTTAAAAGGTCGTTGTGAGACTGGGTGTGACTATAAAGATAAATGAGATCTATGTTCTTAGGAGAATTTTTTTTTTTTTTTTTGTCCTGTTGCCTGGATAGTCGATACAGAAACTAGGACACAGGAAGCTCTTTAATTTCCAAAGAGAAATAAAAATTGAGGTAGATGAAAACCCTTACTACCCCGACCACATGGTGAGTGCACACCCCGACCATGACACATCGACCATGACATGGTGAGTGCACACCTCTTATTACAGCACACCGCCTACGTATGTACAACAAAAATAACAACACGTTAAAAGGATGGATGTGATGAAAGAAGCTTGCGTAAGGAGTGGGAGGAAGTTCTTCCAGAACATTTTGTCATTTCCTGAGCTCAGTATCTCAGGGTTGGGGAACGTGATGGATCATCTGCCTTCTCCTTGAGAGTTTTTGGAACTTCTGCAGACCAGCCAGGGCTGCACAGGGAGACCCTGTCACAAGGGGGGGAGGTATGGTGAAAGTTATGTGCAAGCGAAAGGAGCAGTGTGCAAGGTTGGGCTGAAGAGCATTGATATGTGTGACTGGTAGCACACTGTGCAAATGTTGCCATGTGACATTGTAGCTTCCACTTGGAGTCGTCTGCTCTGAGGGAAACCAGCCTGCACTGTGCCAGGAGGTCACTGAAGCAGCCCTGTGGAAAGGCCCATGTGACAGCAACTGAGGCAAGTCTTGCACTCATGACCTTCACAACCCTGAGCCTGAACCAAAGAACCACCTAGGAAACTATTTGCACATTTTAGTTTTCTTCTTTTCATTTTTTGTTAGCCGGGCAACAAAATTCTCACACTTTGGGCTCAAGTGCTACTGCAACCTCCGCCTGCAGAGTAGCTAGGCCTAGGATGTAGGAACCATTAATTACATTTATTTACTTACTTATTTTAATTTTATTTTTATATGAGTATTTTGCCTGCATGTATATGCATAACTGGTGCCTGTAGAGTCCAGAAAAGAGTGTTGAGTACCATGGAGCTGTATGTTTAGGTGGTTGTGGATGCTGGGAATAGAACCTGAGCCCTCTGGAAGAGCAGCAAGTGCTCTTAACCATGCAGCCATGACCCTCTTGATTGTATCTCTCTGTTAAAATTCTTCTAGTGTACAGAAACAATACAAAATAATAAATACCTGTTACTTTAACTACTAAATTTTGTGATAACTCATTATATACTAATGTCGGGGTCTCTGCAAATGCCCCAGCCAGTAGAGTAATGATCTCTATGAGGCAAAAAGGAAATCCAGTTCAGCGTGACTCAGTAGCTAGTGTCAGTTCAAACTTCCAGAGTCTGACACCAGCAGTTTCTTTCATTTAAGTACAGTAATATTTTGGAAATAAGTTTCCTGGTAACAATTATCTCAATCTCCATGTGCACAAAAAAGCTTAAGGGATGATGACATTGAAACTCGTTTGCAAAGTACATGTGAGCTCTTTCATAAAGATGGGTTCTATAGCTTAGGGACCTAGGAGAGGATCTGGTGTGATTATAGACAGCATAGATATCATGAAGTTACGACATACATGTGACATCTCCATAAGGATGGGTTCTAGTGACCGAGATACAATGTTCGAGATAAAGGTCTACAGAGGAAAAGTCTGAGAGATAATAGTCTGAGAGATCACATGTGGTCTGGGCCTACGGATAGCACAGGTTACCTGGCTTTTAACTGTATCCACTCCCAGCCTTCTGGGAAGAAAATGGGTAGACATGTTTTTTGTGGAAGACACAGCATGTTTAACATTGCTGGCTAGCCTAGTGCTTATCTGTGAGCACAAGCATCTCCTGTCCTGTACACAGCAATAGATGTAATTAACACACCCAGATCAAAAGAGTGCTATCGGTGCTGAGGATGCCTGCTGCAGCATCTCTCACAGTGTTAGCCTTGCAAGAGGATTGTCTAGCTAAGGGTAATGGCCTGGTTCCTTTCGAATGAATTATCTTTGAGACAGTCTCTGGAATGATAGAAAGGTTGTTGAGAGAGAGAGAGAGAGAGACAGACAGAGACAGAGACAGACAGACAGACAGACACACACACACACACACACACACACACACACAGAGAGAGAGAGAGAGAGAGAGAGAGAGAGAGATCCATTTACTTGTCCAGTAGATGGCAGCAAAGAGAGGAGCATGGGACAATACAAGCCCTGCACCTTTCTGAAGACTTGGCGCTTTTTACCAGACAATGGAAGATGAAGAATTTGAAACAGGTTGTAAAGGAATTGCGTTGGACACATCAGGATTATGCTTGTAAGTGGATACTTGCATTCAAACTTTTTACTCTCTCCCTCTATCCCCATGCCCTGATGTGTGATAATATGTGGTTGGACTTGAACATTTTCCTACATCACATGAACACAAGAAAAGCCTATCGTTAAAGGAGAGGTGGGTTTAAGTCCAAATGTACATGGTTTGATGATTCAGTGAAGCAGAAGGAAAATGTCTAGGAACCATAGGGGAAATCAGTGTCATTTAACAGATTTTACTGTCCTAGAACATCTACGTACATTTTTCAAGACCAACCCTTCAGACGGATATGGTTGTCATCTTCCTATTTTAAAAGAGACTTTAAGAAATAAAGCAACTTGACCAATATGCCACAGTTGTTTGGCTTGTTTATGATCATGAACTGATCCAGTGGAAGTTGCTCCTCTGTGTTTATTACCACCATGAAGAATGCTAATAGTGCCGGGCATTGGTGGCACCTGCCTTTAATCCCAGCACTGGAGACAGAGACAG